ACCGATTCGCTTCTTTAACCATTTTTGTTTGACATTTTCAAATGAAATTTTTGATGCAGAAGAATAACACAACAAAAATACAATATTGTTAAAATAAGACAATCGTTCTAATCGATTAAGGTCATTTGTATCATTGGTGTCTAAAAATGATATTTCAAATTTTCGTTTATCATAAGAATTACAGACTTTATTAATTCCAAAAACATTTGGGAAGTACGAATTTTTAACATCATTATATATATTGACATATGAAAGACAGAGCGATGTTTTACCAACGTTATTGTCGCCAATGAACACCAATTTAATTGGAATAACACTTGTTGACATATTATTAATAGTAAATGTAGTTTAACACTTATATAATTAGTTTTTACCGTTTATATTTTTATACTTTTTTTCTGGTATTAATAACCAGATTTATTTGTATAGTATCAATTCAAATTCCTATTTTAAAAATACACAGTTTAATATGTTTTTATTATTTCAGAAATGTTATATAAACCATTTTATATAAAGATGTAATTTTTTGTATTAATGACAATTGTGTTTTGTTGTTTATGTGAATTAATACAAAAATAATGATATACTTGACAATACAAAGTGGTAAAATGGTTGGTTAAAGTCAATTTTTAGTCATCAAAGTACGTTTTTGTTATATAGTTCGTATATTATAAAAAAATGATTTTTATCAATATTTTATAGTTATTATATTAATATGGTTTAAAAAGTACTTAAGTTATCGTAATTCTTAATATTATTATAATAAACAAATATAGATATAATCTTTCATAATAAGACCAAATTTAATTGTTGTGATTATATTTTATTACTAAATTGTGGCTTTCAGTATCGTTATTTTAACCATTAAACAATTTTATAGTTAAATATATGGTCTAGTTTTATTAAAAAAGATGTGTTTTAATAATTGTATTGCTTTTTATATGAATAAAGACTGATATAATGTTCTAATATGCCGACTCGATACGTATCAAATTATGTCAAAATATTGACAAAATCTATATTTGATGTTTTAATTTATGTAAGTAATATAATGGATTTTTACAATAATTATAATAACAAATAAATTAATTCTAAAAATACAATTGTAAAGTTAAAACTCAAACATTGTATAAAAACATTTTTATAATATTGGTTTATTCAATGTAAGTCAGTTTTATAACAAATCCAAACAAGATGTCCAATTCGAATGAACACCTCAATATTGTTGTTGTCGGTCCTTTTCAAAAAGGAATGGTACATTTCTTGGACATCTTTTTGCTAGCCTTCAAATTATTGATCAACGAACGATAGATTGATACAAAAGAGAATGTATTGAAATACAAAGACCGAATTGTGAGTATGCTTGGGTCTTTGAAAAGACCAAAGGAGAAAAATGGGAAGCGTTAACAAATATCCAACTAACAAAAGGAATTATTGCCAAAAACAGTATATTATTAAAGGAAAAACTAAGTTACGACCAATTACGACGCACGACTATGGAAGAGTTTGAAAAAATGAATATTTCATTTATAGACACTCCAGGCAATATAAAGTACACCAAAAATACGATACGTGGTATTCACAAAGGAAACGTCGCATTTCTAGTTGTTTCTGCCTCACAAAAATTTGACGATTAAAAAGAAGCAATTATTGAAAAGTTGATACTATTAAAAGCCTTTTTAGTTGGTTTAGTAGCAGTTATTATCACTAAAATGGGTAAAGTGAAATACTCTGAAATTCGTTTTGAAGAAACAAAATACAAAATTTTGGACCTTTTAAAACTCGTTAGAATTAAAAGTGAAAATGTCAGATTTATTCCAATTGATGGACTTAGAGGAGACAATTTGACAGTTTCTTCAGAAAACATGACATGGACTATCAACAAGACCGGAACAGTCACCGACCAACTTAACACACTCAAACCCCCAGAAAGAAGTCGACTTGACACAGGGCCTTTCAGAATAACAGTAGAAGATGTCTACAAAATTAGTGGAGTTGGAACTGTGTTAGTTGGAATTGTCGAGAGTGGAATTGTACGTGCAAACCAACTTTTTACAGTGTCTCCAAGTAGACTTTCAACCAAAACAAAAAGCGTTGAAATGATGGGTAATCCTATTTCTGAAGGAAAAGCAAAAGAGTTTGTTGGTGTGAATGTTGCAAATACAACGTGCAGAGACTACAATATAGGAGAGGTTCTTTCTGATCTCAACTGTTTTGCTGTCAGATGTGAACAGTTTGTCGCACAAATCAAAATTGTAGATGACAGGATAGTAAAGACGGGGTTGGCTCCAACTATGAACATCCATTTGGCACAGGTGCCTTGTGTAGTACTTGATATAGTAAAAATATCGAAAAATGCACAAGAAAAAAAGTTAATTAGTATTAATTAAAAAATTATTGCAGTTGTCACTATAATGTTGATTAAACCAGTTTGTGTTGAGACTTTCAATGATTTTCCTAAATTGGGGACTTTTGTTCTGAGAGATAATGGAAAAATAGCAGCTTATGGTGGTGTTGAAAAAACAATTATGAAATACTGCGCAAAACATAGTGTTTTCGCTGGAAAGAAACACGTTATTATTGGTAATTTTTTTGTAAAAAAATGTGTTACAGTTAATGGAAAAAAGGGGAATGCTAATCTAAATATTAATTAATTTAATATTATTAATAATAAATAATTAATATGAATTTATTTTGGGTTTTTCATCAGGGCTGCAAACCTCAATTAAATAATCGTTTTTTGAAAAAAAAATAATGGCATTTTATCTTTTTGGATAAAATAAATAATCTTATTCACAAAAGAATTTTTTTGCTCAATTTGATGAAAATAATCATAAAAATTAAAAAATATGCTGTTTTGGGAATGTTTTTGAATAATATGCTCAAAACTGCATTTTATTTGGTTCTTCAAATAATAAAACCAAAAGTGTTTTGAAAAACAAATAATAACCAGAAAAAACAAATAAGAAAAATTTAAATATTTAAACCAAAAACTAAAGAAAAATAAAACAAATAAGTTTTTGAGAAAAAATTTTTATTGAATGGCATAAATAAATAATAGGAAAATGTCATTGGAATTAAGAAAAATAAAAACGTTGTTATTACATTCTGTGTTAGAAAATGATATATAATTTAACTTGTTCAAACCTTAAAGTAATCACGGTTTTATTGTATTCATTAAACATGAATCAGTGTATCAAATAAAACACAAAAAGAGTTTTTACAGTAGGAGGAAATATGGGTATGCTAGAAAAAGTAGGATGTTTGTAACTATTGGTTAATTTCAACTGAAAAATAATAAAATTACTATTAATTTTAATATAAATTATTAATAAAAAAAATAACAGAATGAAAAAACCGAATAAATTTATATTAATTATTTATTATTAATAATATTAAATTAATTAATATTAAGATGAGCATCCCACTTTTTCCGTTAATTGTATATGTTTTTCAATTAAAACATTAACATGATTATAACCAAAATATGAAAAAAGTGATTTAAAATCTTGACACAAATTAATTTATATGACAGTTTGTTGTTTCATTGAATGATAATTATGATATATAAATTGACATTGCAAGGTTGGACGATACCATGTATATATTTATTTTTATGTTAATTTCGTTGTGTTCTAAACAGCACATTTGATAATGAAAACATGATAATCGTTTTTATTCAAAATTCAATACAACTTGTTGACAACTTTGGATCGAGTTGCACAAAATTTAACAATTTGTTTTGACTTACAAAAACAATTTATTTCATTTCAAAAATAAATAATATTTTTAATTAGTTATGTGTATAATCTTTTTCCAAACACATTTAAATGGTCGTTGAAATTTGTGTTTTTAATGTTACATTATTATATTATCATTTTTAAAAACAAATTGTTAATGTTGGATATTATGATCATTTTCTTTTTTATTTAAAATTTAAAACGTGTTAGATTTAAGTAATTTATTTAAATATGTATTTTGAGTACATGTCAAATAACAATACACTTGCTTTATCGAGTAGTACATCATTTTGTTTTATATCTAATTAAAACACTTCAAAAATTTTATTTATTATTATTAAGTAAAGAAACAAGTAATGTCTGTTGATGAAAACACAACACATCAAACAATTAAATGTTCATATTTATGTTATATAAATAATTCAAAAAAAAAATTAATTGTGATACATTACAATTTTACAAAAATTAACTTTTTTAAAAAACATAATATTAAATGGTATAACAAATTGTTATTTGTCTTTTTGTTTTCTGTGTGTTTTTATTTCTGAATAAATAATCATTTATTACTATAATTTATTTAAGTATTTTTTGTTTGACACAAACAACAAACTATTACCATTGATTTAATTTACTAAATTTTAAAACTATTAAATAAACATGGAGATTTGTTATAGCTTTTCAAAACCACATGAAACTATTCTTTCTATTCCTCATTATTTAAATGGTTTTCTTTTTTACCATAATTTTAGAATGTGTATAGTTTGGACGATTTTGCGGCTAGCCATTTTTTATCACTACTGGCTGACAAATCCTAATTAATTTATTCAACGAATTAAAAATAATAGTTCCAAACACAAATTCTGGCTAAAAATAATCAAAAATTAACACGGGCTAGCCACCAGTTGAATCTGGTTTGCAGCCCTGTTTTTCATTTTATTTATTTTTTGATTAATAATTTATATTAAAATTAATGATAATTTTATCATTTTTAATTGAAATTGATCAAAAGTTACGCGAATTATTCTTTCTCTGGCATCGCCTTATTTCCTCCTACTGTAATTAATATTTTCTTTATAATAGTAACAATTATAATAATATAAAATAAATACTAATGTTTTTGATAAAGATCTGTTGTTGTTAAAAATACAGTTAAAACCTGCGCCATATTTGCACTGGCTTACGTGGCAATACCTTTTACAAAAAAACATGGATAAAATGAGATAAAATGATAAAATAAAAAGAAAAGTTAAAGGAAAAAAATTGAAAAAATTGATATTTCATCCAAAAAGTTATAAAGAAAAAAACATATTAGAAAACAAAAATCATTTAATAGTTAGCTCAAATAATATACAGATTTGAATTCATACAATTGAAAAAGTTATAACGGCATAAAATAGTTTTATGTTAATTTCATTTAATATAAAGTAATAATAAAAAATGATGTGTAAATGTGATAATTTATCTATTTATATGTTTCAAATAAATAATAAATTTAATAAAAGACTTGCATGCATATATTCAGAAAATTGAAATTTTTTATATTAAATTCTATTGTGGGGTATATTTATTTAATTTTATAAACGAAATATATCAAAAATTTAATACATTTTATTATAATTATACGATTCATATTAAAAAGAAAAATCGAAAATGTTTTTAAAACATTTTATTAAAAATAATAAGTTTAATAACATATTAAATACAGAACTTTTTTTGTATGATTAAGTTTATTATAATTGAATTGATAATTACACATTTTATTAGTTATTAATATTGTACTATTATTATTAAATCAGAATTCAAACGAATTAATTTTAATAATTTTTATATCATTTTGAATTACATATAATATTATAACTTATAACTAATTGAAAAACGATCCAAACCAAACCCACCTTAAGAACAAATCAATTACACTTTTGATATGTTATTAACTTTTGAATTGAATGATTATTTAATACATAAATTATGGGTTTAATATTTATTAAATTACAAACATATAATATATTATAATTTAATAAAAAATATTTGATAATTACTGGACTTCTATACAAGACAAACAAAAACACATAACAACACAACAATAACAAAAAAACAAAAAAATGAAAGACATTTTAATAAAAAAGTAAAGTTTATAAATTTAAACACAAATAGTAGTCAATTGCATTATATTGAATGTTGTGGAAATTAAATACATTGTGAAAAATAAATATTGTTTTTAGTCGACACTACCAACGTTAAATTTTCAATTGTTTCATTTTTGTTTTATAAGTATTTTTTACTTAATGCTGCATTGACTTAAAACCATCAAAAATGCATTCATTATTGATAATAGCAAGTCAGTTTCTTCATCCACACTAAGAATTTTTATATTCAGTGTTGTTGAAAATGGAAATAATATATTATTTGTTATGTTCTGTTATTTTTTTAATTGATATATTATTATATTGTTTATTATTTTATTTTAATAAATTTATTAATATTTATAATAAATAAACAATGATATTTTATTTGTTTTTTGTAATTTTTCTCAGCCGATGTGGCTATTTAATTTACCTTTATGTTGGTCAAGTGATCAACACAAAATGATGTTTTATCATTTATTATGTTAATAATTAAAACATTTTTATCATTTATTTTTTATATAAAACCAATCTTTGAATTGTGATCAGTCGGGACTATATATTCAAGTGTTGTTATGTGTTTTGGAATTACCAATTGAGTTTTGTATTTATTAACACGATAAGTATCGGAATAATCCCGTTTTTAGCCAGAATAATTAAAATACGATTAAAAACACTTTCAGATTTTAATAAAAAACGTTTCATTTTAAATGACACATGTTGTTATATTTTTTGTTGTGGCTTTTGTTTTTAGTAAAAATTTCATTCTCATTATACTAACACTTATAACACTGGTTTAACTCTCCAATATCACTATAATACAATCATATGGATTGGAGTTATAATATTTCACGTTTATTGTGTTTTAAAAAGATGTGTTTGAGAAAAAAAAACACATTTCATCATTTTTATTGTTTTTTAATAAATAATTAGCTCATTATTACCATTGAAATGATTTGGTTTAAAAATACGTTTGATGTTTTGATATTTCTTGATTTTTCTTGAATAGATTTATGTAAAAAAATTCAAAAAGATGGTTCTACAAGTTTATAATGTGTTTTATTGGTCAAAACAAAGATTCAATTGCTTTAAGAAATTTCATTTAAAAAATAATAAGTTTTTTTTCTCTTTTTCTTATAACAATTTTTATGTATTTTGTTTTTTAAATTGTTATATGGGCTAGTGCAGGTATATAGCATGTCTTAAGTTATAATTTGTAGAGTCAGTTTGTTAAAGTTGTTTCTCTCCAAACGTTGTTTTTAGTGTTTTATTATTAGAACCATTAAACAGTTCTCACAATAAACAAAACTGTCGGCAAATAACAATAATGTTTACCATATTAAACTCATTTCTTAGCAATTCCCGCTTTAAAACAAATTCAAAGAGTTAAAAAAAGAAATAATTGGATAAAAGCAATACCAAAACAAAAAAAAAAACGTAAACCCTAATAATCCCACATTTTGGTAATTATTTAACTCTATTATCTATTACCTTTTATTTACAAAATAATATGTTCAGAAAAGATAAAAAACAAAAAACTGGATGAATAAATAAAATTAAAATAACACTTTTGAACACAAGCAAGACATAATTTTTATTCTGAATCATTAATTAGCTTTTTAAAAAACAAGAAAATGAAAATATGGCATCAAGCTTATTTAATGATATTTTTGAACATATCAGAGATTATGGTGATGTTAAATTTAAATTTTTCCAACTCAAAAAAAGTTATTAATCCAAAGCTTTTTTGAAATGAAACATTACAAGAAAGCTTTCATTAACATTTCTACG